CCGAACCGTGCCCGAGGCCAGGCGCGAGCCGGGCGCGGACAGCCGCGCAGGGCTGCCGGCGGGGCCGGGAAGTTCGCAACGCGGCCGCCGCACAGCGCGGAAACCCCTTTTACATAGTCCTCCTGGCTAGAAACTCCTGGAAATCCTCGCGTGAAAGTTGCCATTAGACAGAATCATCATCACACCCGTGCTTCCCTTCTCCGCTGTGCTGATTACGTGGGGGTCGTAAGGTCGCTTTTTAAGAGGGGTAGGGAGGAGAAGCAGAGGGAAGAGCAGCTACAAATACAGGTGGAAGAGGACTGAATGCGGCAGCAATCTCAGGAAACCCAGATACGGTGAAGGAGGAGGTTCAGAGAGGGGGAAAAGCAGCAGCTGTTGGATGCGAAGCAGCAAGTGAAACTAGGAGGTGAAGGACTGATCTAGGGCTAAGGTGAGGCAAGGAATTGGAGCTCCCCGAGGATCTCGAGACACCAAGCTGAAGCCCAGTATTGGTCACTTGCTCCGTGGGGATGTGCGGAGTTTGTTGTATCAGAAGTGAGACATGGCCAGAGAGGTGTCCTTTACACACGAAGGAGGGACAGTCTCGCTTGCAGGGTGCAAAATGCAGCTGCCTCTGGTTACACATCCAGCCCAGGGTTAATGGAGATGCCACCCCAAGAAGGCAGGGCCCCTTGAATCTGCCAAAACCACCACTCCAGGAACACCAAAGCACCAACACAAACCAGCGCCAGCTCCAGTGAACCAGTACGGTACCAAATCCTGTCTGTCAGGTCACGCGCATTAAGCTTTCACGGAAACTTCAGACTGGTTTTGTAACGGGTCCAACTAAACATTGTCACCCCCTCACACAGGTGCCCAGCTCTGCCACCCCTGCGATGGTTTCCTGGACAGGTTGCAGCGCTGGCGGAGACAGCCCGAGAGCCTGCATTGGTCGAGTGACTAAATCAACCTTCTTAGGCTTACCCGATCATACCGCAGACAAATTATTCACCTGGCTTTGCCCTGAATAGGCACTGCTCCCACAACAGGCCAACGTTGCTAGTGTTTTTGCACACAGCCCTTAAAATCTCCGGTTGACCTTATCTCTGGACTGGGAATTTTCTGCCGCTGTTCCTGGCAGCTCAGCACCTGAATGCACCTTGTTTGCGGGATATAATGAACGGACTGGGGCCAAGTGAGGCAATGTGGAGTAGCTTACAGCTGGACTCTCCTTTTCTTCAGAGGAGCGAGCGTCCTCCCGAGTTCAAACTTCTTCTACTTGTTTTTCAAAACCCCAGGGAGAGGGCAATTTTGAGAGCGATTACAGGAGATTGGGGACTTGAGTAGCAGGTCCGTGTTGCACTTCGCCAGTCCTCAGTAGCATGCTGACCCTGATCAAGCAGCAGGATGGTCTCTGCTGTAGTGCCAGGGCTTGAAGGTGTGGGGTTTTTAACTATTCACTGATCCAAACCCCTGGCAACCTAAACAGGAGTGGCCTTTAGATCTGGACTTGGGGAAAGGATTTTTTTTTCCTGACACACACGTCTGGGAATATACTTTATCAGGGTGTGATTAACTGCACTGCCAAGTCTCTTCCTGCTTCTCCCAGGAATAGTGTTTCTGGCGACTGCATACTGAGGCAGGTCAAAATCCGCAGAGTCGGTACAAAGATCCAGTCAAAATTTGAGCCCGAGATGTAGTTTCTTCCTATGGCTCACTCGCATTTGGTTTCTAGCCTACATCAACTCCCGAGATGGAGAGTCTTGCTAGCTTGGTGGTGGCAGCCTTGTTTCTCAGGTAGGTGGAAATCCAAACGCTTCAGAAGAAGTTTGCTATCCAAAGAGCAATGGGTCACGTCCATTCACACGACTACCACTCCCCTCGCGTGAAAGAAACAAGGACTTGGAACAGTGAACCAGGAAGACAACGGCATTCAAAATGGAAGATCTCCCATTCCACACTTCGGTGTTGGAAATCTGGCACTGGAACCAGATGGATGCTTCAGAGCCCTGCTTCCCTTGGGCAACAGTTTGAATTTTAATTAGCAGTCATTGTAAGGGGTGGGGGAGAGGAGAAAGAGAGATTCTCATTTTGAAGTGGGGGTCCTTAACTCTTGCCACATGAAAAAAAGGTGGGGGAAGCAAACTAGCAATAGGATTTCCCTTTCACGTTTGCTAATTGTCAGGATCAGGTGGAGTTACGATTTGAACAGTTCTGTCCTGTCACCATTTAAAGAACACTGCTCCCCCCCCCAAAAAAAGTGTTACAATTTGGTTGTGCCCTCAACAGAAGTGAAATGCAAGTGCCCAAGTGATGCTACTTCAGCTAGGTGCTGTAACTTGCTCCCAATCCATTTGGGCCATGTGCTGGTAGGAAGTGACATGCCAGGATCAGTTGGAAAGTTTTATGAAACAACCACGAGAAGAAAGAGGAGGAGCTAGAGCTTAGCTAAATAAATGTACATCCACCTATGAGAACTCGGTACCCAAACACGTGCACTGAATGTAACCTGTGCTGATACCACTCAAAATAGTTCCAGGGGGAAGAAAAACATTTGATGCTAGACAATACCTCTCAGTAATGTTAGCAAGGCAGGAGGAGTTCTGCTGGCCTTTAGGGTGCTCTTTCGGGGGGCGAGGGCAGGCAAAAACTGCTCCTCAAAACAATGCCAGTCATACTCACAGGAGAAACTAACCACATCTAGGGGACCTGAATAACTTTTCCAGGTGGAACAGGGAGAGCCATTCAAAGGCATGCATTTGGTGTTTCAAAACATGTCCTAAACTCCAAATGATAAGCTCCATTATGTCTTTAAGTAGACTTCCTTGCAGTACTCCTGCCCTTTCTGATCAGATTAGCTCCTGACTGAGCACTTGGACACTTGCAGAGTCATTCTGCGATGGCCTCGCTATTATAGAAGCAGTTAGTATCATTGTAGCTCAGCTCGTAACCACTCATTAGCCTTTTAGTGCGCTGAGACATGGGACTTCTCTAAACCACTGCAAGAACTCCTTTGGTTATGCTTCTGTAAGTGTTAGTCTTGCTTATAGCAGGGCTCCTTGTACGGGCGCTTTAAAAACACGTGAATGAAGTGTTCATGCTTGGAGCCATGCTGCTTTGCTCTCGTATGATGCAGAGCTGAGCTCAGTCAGCACGCGAAGCAGTCTCTAAACACCTAAGTGGTGCAAGCAGCAATGTTTCCAACCCCACGTTTCTTGGTCACTACCAAACTAAAACCTAACATTGGTACGTAGAATGGGGGGGTTGTGATTAACACGAAGGTCCCATTCACGTGTGACCTTTTCACAACTGTGGTACTTCTCGCAACCATAAAGATCTTGAGCTCCAGAGTTTGAGTCAGACTTCAACTTGAGCAACCGTATTTGACCTTTGCACGTTTCTCCTGCAGTTTCATTGAGAGAAACAACTAATTTTGTCTGGCTACGTGTTACATGCTGTTCAAACTTAACAGCAGAGGTTTCCGCATATCGCTCGTGCTGGAAGCAAAATGTTTTGTATATAGCTTAGCTAAAAGGTAACATGGTTGGAGATATTTCAGGGTAAAAGAGAATGCAACATGCATGAAAAAAGCTTCTGCTGAAGCTGCGTGGGGGGGGGGAAGGACATAAAGGCTTTGCAGCACTACATTTCCTTCAGGACTCATTTTCTCACTGCATTCGAGAGATCTGTGATAAATATCGCCTGACAAATAAGGTCACTTGTTTTAAGCCATGAACTCAAATCGTATTTTATAACCAACCACCGTCTGGCAGGAATTTGGTTTACGTCCTGCAAAACTGTGTGTAAACCAGTACTGGAGCCGGGCTAGCATTATTTTGATCCACTGCACTGATTTCCTATGTACTTTGTTCAATACATGTCACTTATCAATAAAGACACTAGCCTAACAAATACTTATTTCAATCAAGTTTTGTGAATGGATACACTTGGCCTTACATAAAACTTAACTGTCTGAACCTTCAGGATAAACGAAGTGTTTAGATTTAGTATGAAAGTCCCACAGGTCAGAGAATGGGACGGGTCTGCTTTAGACTTTTGCTGGTCACTATTCTTCCAGGATAACTGTATCTGTAACCTGGTATCTTAACTCAGTTGTTAAGATGCGTCTAAAATCTGATAGCACAAGACCACGGAAAGGCCATTTCAGTAAAGCAAACCTCTGTATTTTTCAGACAGTGGTCTCGTAAATTAGCGATAAATCCTAACGTAATGCCAGTCAAATATTACCTAATTGCTCTGCTTTATTAACACATATTAAAATAAGTAGAAGCAGAACAAGCAATATGTGGTCAGCTGGGAGAAGAGAGTCTGAGCAACCCATCTGGGTTGTAGTTGCTGGGCTAGCACATCCTGGGTGTGTCACTAGGGTGACGATGCTGTGAAGGCAATGGCACCAGCTGCGCTGTATTAATGACACTCCCTTGTGGACTGGTGCATGGATTGGCTGTAGATGGAGCCACCCATGGGGAAGGCACTAGCTGCCAACCTTTCTAGCTAGGCAAGTGGGACAAGTAGCTCATAGGAGGGACCCCCCCACCCTCCATCACCAGCTCTCAGTAAGAACCAGGACTAGCAAATATCTTAAAATACCCATTCATCCCAGCTCACTGCTGCTAAGGCAAGATGGGCCAGTCTCGTTTCTGAGCGGGTATAGCCCAGGGTAAATGGCACATATTTACTCTGAGCAAAACTGATGCAATATGATCCAGATTCCATTCAGCACCTAATTAAGAAGGTAAAATGACTTGCTGAGGCCATAAAATCCTGCTGTTAAACAGTGCTGTCCCCAGGGTCTTTCCCCCATTTCAACCACCAAGCCTAAAGACTGGCTCTCATCAGCTACAAGTGTTTCCCCTATTTTCCAATATTTCAGCCTACTTGCACTAGAATTTTACACAGCC